GACATCAGGGGTCTCCAAGACCCTTAATGCCACCTAGGACCCCCCAAAAGAAGCTGATGAAGCAGAGATCTGCTCCATCAGCTTCTTTCCAGCTTCTGAAGCTGGAGAGTGACACAATGTATTATACAACACTTCCGCATTCTTGTGTACCGAGCTCCCTCTGATCCCCTGTGACACAGGGCACATGCATCAGCGGGACAGCGGCGGGGGGGAACCGCGGAGGGGGAGCGATCGGCACCCCATACACGCGATCCGCCGGCTCTACAGCCGGCGGATTGCTTGTATGGTAACAGGCATCGATGAAAAAAGAGGGGGTGTCCTGCTTCTGGACATGCAGTAGCTCCAATCTATTACCCTTAGGTTTCAGTCCATCTTACCAGATCCATAACCAGAAAGTACATCAAACAAAAGAGAGATTCGGGCCGTCTATTAGTTATAGGCGGTCCAAGGGTTACTTTAGAGATCGGGACAGACCATAAATGTGGTTTCAATGAAAAAATATTTATTTAAATTTCAAACATAACAAACGTGGTTAATCTTTATCGACCATTAAAAACAATGTGAAAAAATGATTGAACTGACGGTTGCATTCATGGCCTTTGTTGGGACTATCTAAACCCTTGTATATTATGTGACCTTCATCAAGGCTTATGACAATCTTCCCGTTGTTTCTTCAAGGTATATATGGCTCCTTGAATATCCTTCCCATATAGAGTTAATTTAACCCGTGGATTTCGTATGCGATCTCTCCACTAATTATACTGTGTTTTTTCTCTATCTTGTGTCAATATCTCTTAAGATCTTTAGACAGTTCCTTCCCTTTATTTTTTTGTAGTATTGGTATCCTGTGATTGGATTTTATTCCATAATTTGTTCACTGAGGATGTTTCGAGGTAAGCTATTTCCTTGTGTGATATCTGTGGTTCGGTTACACTTGTTTAGTGTTTTTTAAAAAACCGTGGCAGTTCCTTGCGGCATATGTTTGTAATACGAATCTTCCCTTGCTTTCTGCCCAGGGTATCTTATTCCATATAGTTTATCCGCTATAAACATAGTTTTTCATTTGAAAAAGTTCGTATATAATGATCTTTTACTCACATATCCCGGTCGCCGTCTCTTTCAAGTATAGCTTACCTCTCCACTTGAAGGGAAATGGTTTTGTTTGTTTTTAGTGAGGGAGACACGATCCAGCAGCTCAATCCTTGGTACGGGTACTTTAGACTCTCGGGGATTCAAGGATGTCCATGTGGTGTTGGTTTAATGAATCAAAGATTTAGTTAGCCATAAGTCAAGATATTTTATAAGGTATATCTTCTCTATTAGGGGTTTAGTCCAGGCATTGCATGTGTGGCGTCTACGCGTTTCGCCCCTCCCCCAGGACTTCGTCAGGACGTACCACTACCTAGTTTGGTGAGGTATATATGTTGTGTCCTCACCTGTATGACATCTTCTAATTAGCCCTTGAATGATTTCTCGGCTGTGTCATGATTAGTTCGCTATCTGTCAGTTCTTTTACACAGTGCAGAAGTGTGTATAAAATTTGAGACGAATAGTTTATGTAATAGATCATAGTCACATCAATTCCAGGGGATTCTTTTTTTGTCCGATCGGGGTGATCATTTGTGAATGAAGTTTCTTGTATCCTTATTATTTTATAGTTCGGGCATGATCTTTTCACTGGGTTGGTTTGTATGGAGTTTTCACAGGAAGACATTTAGGTTGAATTCATTATTCAGTCCATTGGGTATCAGAGTATTTAATCTATATGTCCACATCTTCTCCTTTTGGAGGAGAATAGTGTCGAAGTCTCCTCTCCGTGGGGACAGATTCAATGCATAGATCGCCTTTACTTTGAAAGTGTTTTTAAACCGTGGCAGTTCCTTGCGGCATATGTTTGTAATACGAATCTTCCCTTGCTTTCTGCCCAGGGTATCTTATTCCATATAGTTTATCCGCTATAAACATAGTTTTTCATTTGGAAAAGTTTGTATATCATGATCTTTTACTCACATTTCCAGGTCGCCGTCTCTTTCAAGTATAGCTTACCTCTCCACTTGAAGGGAAATGGTTTGGTTTGTTTTTAGTGAGGGAGACACGATCCAGCAGCTCAATCCTTGGTACGGGTACTTTAAACTCTCGGGGATTCAAGGATGTCCATGCAGTGTTGGTTTAATAAATCGAAGATTTCGTTAGCCATAAGTCAAGATATTGTATAAGTTATATCTTCTCTATTAGGGGTTTAGTCCAGGCATTGCATGTGTGGCGTCTACGCGTTTCGCCCCTCCCCCAGGGCTTCGTCAGGACGTACCACTACCTAGTTTGGTGAGGTATATATGTTATGTCCTCACCTGTATGTCATCTTCTAATTAGCCCTTGAATGATTTCTCGGCTGTGTGATGATTAGTTCGGTATCTGTCAGTTCTTTTACATATACCATTATTACAGAGCCCTCCTTTACATCAGAGTCCCCGCATTATATCAGAGCCCTCCTTTAGATCAGAGTCCCCCCGTTATATCAGAGCCCTCCTTTACATCAGAGTCCCTCCGTTATATCAGAGCCCTCCTTTACATCAGAGTCCCCCCTGTTGTATCATAGCCCTCCTTTACATCAGAGTCCCCGCATTATATCAGAGCCCTCCTTTACATCAGAGTC